GAACAGCTTCATACAATCCCATACGTTCTATTTTGACACATAGTTACCGCCTAGCGTTTTCGCGTCCGTGCGAACGCTCGCTTAGTGTATCTCATACTAATTTTTTTAAATTATATAAGGTGGCAAACGAGCAAACGGCTACCTGAATCCACCGAAATGAAAAGCGACCGATGCCCATAAACATCCGCAATTGCAGATGCGTTGCCTACCCTTTATTGACGGAGGAGGAGACGCACATAAAGAGGACATTTCTCCTTCCTATGCGTCTCCTCCACCGTCAAATCCACTTTTCCTTCCCTTCCTTTCCTCTTAAGAAAAGGGTGGAATGGGAAAGGGACTAAAATTAGGCCTCCGATACCACTCTCATCAGACGAAACGCGGAATTGCTTCCACTTCACGCCTGTTTTCTGTGTGGTCGTGGTATTGCATTGGACGAGCCGGCCCATTGGAGCGAAGATGTTAAAGCGGGCTTACGACTCTTAGGGCCTGTCCCACCACTGGCTGATAGAGGCTCAGATAGCGTAAAAATGACGTCACTGACACAAAAGATAACAAACCTGATGTTGGTTTTTGGTGGGACAGACCCTAAGTATCGAGGTTAGTGTACTAATATAAAGATTTAATGGTTTGACTAAAAACGGACTTTTGAAAAATCCTTTATCAAAGGTCGTAATGTGATACACTTAATTCAGAATGATAAATTTAACCTTTTGGCACTTTCGACACTTCGAGGACGTTAATGTCCCATGTTGAGGAAACAGAAGTATTTCTTCGGAAGTCCCAAGTGTCGGTTGAGACATTAATTGCGACCCTAATATGGTACTAAAGACTTTGAGCCTCTTTGTTAAGATCAAGGGCGATCGATTGCTTCGTTTGAATTAAATCTGATTTGTTTATTGTCTTGAGTTTTCACTGACAATAAAATAATTGATGATAAAATATATCATGCTATCTCTTTCATTTTTATCAGAAAAGGTACATTGCATTCTGTAGAGATGTTCCTTGAATGGGAAACCAAGGTAAAGTTGACGTTAGAACAATTGAAATTGAAGGAAAGATCGACTTGGGCAACTGCTTTTTAGTCAACAATCAAAGATGATTAAAAAATTGTTGCTATACCATTTGAGATAATCTTCATTCACTAAAGATTGCATGGAAAAAATATAAAAATGTAAGCAAAACATAGACCTTTTGAAATAAAATAGCAAACGTACGCGAATTACACGTTGAATACATTTTACGTATAGGCGCTCACATTTTTTTCATTTATTCTAATAAACAAAAGTGTGGAAGACCACGTATTTAGTCCTCTTTACATGACAGCCTCAACTGATCAGCTCAGCGGGCTACCCCGTGGAGCGGCACCGCACTACTACAGCTGACGGGTACGTGCTGCAGATGCACCGTATCCCTGCTGGCAGGCGGAGTGCCCGTCGCAGCGGGGGTAAAGGTAAACGTGCTGTACTCGTCATGCACGGCCTGCTCGGACACAGCGGGGATTTTGTCATCATGGGCCCCGAGAGGAGCATCGGTAAGCTACCATTACACCTTTGATTAAGGCAAAAGAGAGAGGCTCACTTATGTTATCATGAAACAATTCTTAAGAAAACTGCCGTTAAATCTACTCGTCATGTACTGTACAAGAAATAGAAAAGTATAAGGGCCTGTCCCACCAAAATAAAGTTGTCTGTAATATATGTGATGGGAACATCGGATTTTGTTCCCATATCTTACAGTGACGTAATTTTTAAGCTATCTGAGTCAGTGGTGGGACAGGCCTTTAGTATCTTTACTCTTTGAAGGAAAGGGAGTATAACAAGCTACTTGGGAAGTCAGTACTCAGTAAGGTGCAAGATAAACATAAAAAAAGCACATTTTAACGATTGTTGTTTACAGTACATCGGTAGAGATAAATTAGAGTATAACTTCCAAAGTAATACAAGGTGAAGTTTTTAACGCTTGTTACATTTTAATTCATAATATAACCTTGTTATAAAACTAGGAAAAGATTTGTAATAATCATCTCATAATGTATTTTGATTAGATATGTTTTAAAGTTACAATTTTCATTTCAGGTTACATCCTAGCAGACGCGGGCTACGACGTGTGGCTGGGGAACCTGAGAGGCACGGTTTATAGTACTCATCTTAACCTTACTAAAGATGACCCGAAATTTTGGGACTTCAGGTAACATTCAAAATAAAAATAAAATAAAACAACATTTAATCTTATCACCACTACAACACAATTTGGAATAAGAGAAAAAAAAACACAACAAAGTAATTAAAAAAGTATAAATAATAAACACGTAATTACAGGACAAACAAAGTATTTAAAATGTGTATGCAGTGCTGACCGGATTGGGTCCTCGCTCAGCTACAGTCTACAAGACCTTAACAATATATACGATAAAGTAATACTAAAAAGCTAGTAATTACAAATAAATCTTAGGAACAACATAAAAAGAATTTTTCAGCACTTTAGGTAAATCCATTACAACAATAGTTAAATAATAACTTTAGTATTAAAAAGTCATAGGAAGAAGAAATATTCTTTTCATGTGCGTCTCTTCCTCAGTCAAACGCAACTGCATTTACGGATTTGAGACAGGATAAAAAGTAACATGACTCTAATATAACATTTTCTTCGGACCTTCAGTTTCCACGAGCACGGCAAGTACGACATACCGGCACAAATAGATAAAGTGCTGGCGGTCACCGGTCTGCCCAAGCTATTGTACGTCGGGTACTCCATGGGCACGACCAGCTTCTTCACCATGATGTCCACGAGGCCGGAGTACAACGACAAGGTTATCGCTTTCGTTGCACTCGCACCTGCCGTCTTCTTGAATAACATGCGTCCACTTGCTGAATTACTGCTCAAGACTTGGAACGTACCGGTTCGTTGATTTTAATATTCTTTTAGGAGCTTAATGAATATTTTCATATATACAATATTTGTAAAAGACAACTGCCACACTCAGAGAAGTATTTTTTCGTACTAAATCCACCACTTAACGTCTCTGAAGTAAAAGACTTTTTAGTAGCTACATCTATGAGAATACAATTAAGTCTTCGATTTTTCATCCAGTTTATTTGTTCTTATAATTGATGTATCCTTGTAAATATCTCCAGCAAACGATGAGGAATCAAGGAATGGTGTCGCTGACGTTCCGCCAGGAGCTGCGAGAGTTGGTGGTGAGCAGCGTGTGCCGGGTGCGATCGCCCGAGGACGACATGTGCATGCGTCTCGTCTACGCACTCGTCGGGGAGGACTACGAGCAGAACGACTGGGTAATAATCAACAAACAGCCAAAACTCGACAATTAACAAGAGTTATGGTTGCATTAAGTACAAAGTCACAACCTTTGATTCAAAGAGTGATATAAGCAGACTCCGGAGACCAACAGATGTGAAAGGACGGTTCAAAAGTTGAAGAAAAAATGTTGAAATCGGGGGTTCACGGAAATCAGTGATTTGTTCTAAAAGGTGTCTAGAAAAATCACCCCAAACTAATTGATAGGTTTTGGCTTTGTTTTCTCCGCTATCGTCCACAGATATTTTTAATACTTAATTTTCATTTACAGGACATGATGTCTGTGATAATGGCGAGGTTCCAGCCGGCATCGTGGCGACAGTTTGAACATTTCGGAAAAATTGCATTAACTGGTGAGTTAGAAAAATAATTACAATCGCTCAGATCAAAGGCCATCATAGGACGAGTTATGGCTCTACTATCTTCAATGATCGTTACTTAATCAGTTTTATGTATGGTATTGGAAGGTGTTTTCACATCGTGGGAGGATGGCTTATGGGGCGAGGTTAAGCCGTACAAACTCTCCAACGTGAGGGTACCAGTTTCACTCCTGTACGGAGAGAATGATCAACTGACTGAGAAAACTGTAAGTACCTTATTTCAATACTCAACACGAAATTAGCCAGTTAGTTGCCTAATTATTTTCTGAAACTTCCTATGCTAATATATTACAATAGAAGTATGAGGATTTCAGCTTATTAATTATGTGTTCCTTTGTTCTAGCAAATAATGAGGCTAGCCAAAGAGTTAAATGCCAGCGGAGTGCTGGAGGAGGTCCGGCCGGGCTGTGAGTGGCCCAAGTTCAACCATTTGGACTTCGTATTCGCCAAAGACCTGGGCAAACTTCTCAACCGGCCGCTAGTCAAGCACATAGACTATATGTACAATAAATATGGACCTTCATAGAAACTAATTACGTTTTATTACTACTTTATGCCTCATCTATTCTTTTATCTTTACACTGCACATTCAAACAAGTCGATCATTGGTCCGACTTAAAAAATATTACATAACCTCTTTTCAAAACGATAAGGTCGGAAACACCTGCATGTCCTTTTGTTGCCTTGACACTAATACGCATAAAGATACGAATAAAAATCCTTATAAGATTATGTATTCGCCTTCAATTACATAATACGTCACCAAGTCCATTCTTATGTTAAAAAAATCGCCAAAAAATAGATTAAATGACAAAAACGACCAAAAAACATAAACATGTAAGGTTGTATGTTCTAGAAACATCTAAAAAATCAGTCAGAGTGTTTTACCGTTTAACATATTTTAAAAGTGAAACAAATATTATTTCGACGCACATAAATCACAAATATACTAAACACACAAACATAAACAGTTACGTTTAAAAACCTGTTTTTAAATATGTTTTATGAATATCGGAATTAAATAGAAACAAGGATGAACAAAAATTACGATGGCATTGATACGGTATCGTTTCCCGCCAGTCGGTCAAAACATTTATAACAGTCAATACACTTCCTCGGTTTTCGCGCGCTTTTTAACGTCAAACGATTGAATTATTGCCACATTAGAAAATCAAAAAGCTTCCAATTATAATACAAAGTCGTTTATTATTTCAAGTGCAGTGTAATTGTTGTTATTTAATTGTAGAAAATGGGTATTCGTTCGTGGTGTATAATTTTATTATGTTTGAATAATTTATTTGAAAGTGAAAGTCAATTTCGTTTACCTGAATCTTATAAATCTGTGGTAAGTTTTATAACGAAAGTTTGGACGTTATTAAAAAACATACAGACGGAATGAAAACATCTTCCTTTTGCAGTCGTTTTAAAGCAGAACGATTACTTGTTGCTTTATGACTACTGGAAGAATGTGAAGAACATTCTCTCTGACTGTCAAAACTATGCTTTCTTCAAATAGATGGCGTTATATTCAAATTATACGCGTCACTGGCATCTCTTTCTCTCTTATAACAATTTGAGAGCTTAAACTCTTTAATAACAATAATCCTAGACCTTGTTTTTTTTAAATAACTTTGACCATCATGACCCTGAAGTTCAATATTTTAATTATTACCTAATATTATGTAATTTGAATGGAGTTCGGAAGCATGGTCATGACATAAAGGTTTTATTCTAGGTCATGCTTCAACTCCAGTATATTTTAATATTATTATATAACTTGAATTAATTATACATAATAGGTAATCCGTGTCATTGCTAACTTCTAAATAAGTTTAACTAAACTTGACTAAAAGATTAATTAAGTTACATAATTTAAGGTCTCGGAAACCATGAGGTATGTCGATCTGCAACCAAAAATGAAGGCTCAATCGATTCTGAATGACAATGACCTTATTCTCAATTATGTCACCGATTGTTTGTGAATTTGATCAGTTTAAAATCAGTCCAAGAATATCATGAAGTGTCGGTTAATTAAAAACTATTTTTCTTGGAATCCCACAACAATTTAATTTAAGAAAGTCTTAAAACTACCTTTAATTTTTTAATAATTTTTATAAAACGTATTCATCATTTTTAAAACATCACGGTCATTAAAGATGAAACTAATCTGACAAGGTCTTATACATAATAAGAGTTCAAACGATATAATAACGTCTTTATTTCTGCATTTAATTTGAATACATTACCAAGCAATTTAAATTAAGTCTATCAAACTCCGTTTGTTCAATAACAAACAAGATAAATGTAGACTTTTATTCAGTGAGAAGTAGAGACGTGAAGCAAAAGTTGCAGTAGAAATTACAAGTAGTAGTAAATAGCGAAATATTAATCTAATAGTATCCTGGTACTTTATGATTCTCAGAGGCGCCAAGAACTTTGGAGTAATGTACTAGTAACTCTGGGCTATAGCGCTTTAGTAAGGGATCTAAGTTTGATTCAAACAGACAACCTTTTACAATTTAAACTTTCAGCCAAATTTAATCAGAGCTGCAGGCTACCCAGCAGAAGAGCATCGAGCATTGACACCAGACGGCTATGTATTACAACTGCACAGGATACCGAAAGGAAGAGCGTTGCCCAGGTCCTCTGACGTCAATAAGAGAGCCGTGCTCATAGTACATGGTGTTTTCGGATGCAGTAGCAACTTTATTCTGATGGGTCCAGGGAAGAGCTTAGGTAACTTACGACCATGTCAATTCTTATATAAGGTTCAATTTATTTCAGATTAGGTTTGTGTCAAGTTTGGATTATGTTGACATTTGATTTGTATTTTTCTAAATGACATTGAAGTTTTATTACGCGAGGACCTAACAAGAATATTATTACAGGTTTCATGCTCGCAGACGCGGGTTATGACGTGTGGTTGGGCAACTTGCGAGGGAATCGCCACACCGCACACCTCAATTTAACCAGAAGCAATCCAAAGTTTTGGGACTACAGGTAAAATAAAACTTAACCAATAAACGAATATTAATAAAATGCACTATAAACTAGCTTGATTCTGAAAAGCCGGATTTAGTGAATTACAACACTTGATTTTAGAAGCACAAAAAATGCATGATCAAATAACTCATTGTTTTAGCTTCCATGAGCACGGCAAATACGACGTACCAGTTCTGATAGACAAAGTGCTGGCCGTCACAGGGCAGTCTAGCCTGCTGTACATCGGGCACTCCATGGGCACTACGAGCTTCTTCATCACGGCCGCCCTCAGGCCGGAGTACAACGATAAAGTGGTAGCGTTCATTGGTCTGGCACCAGCGGTATACTTCGACCATATGAAGTGGCTTGCTGACTTCCTTTTGAAGAGTCTTAAAATTGTGGTACGTTTATATGACAGCTCTCACGCTTATCACATGTAACTTCATTTTACCATGATTTCAGGCACATAAAATATGAGCAACAGCCTTTTTCCAAGTGGATTTGTTTAGCTATTGATTTAAATTTTTTTAACATTTCTAAATGATTGTGAACACAATTAATTATACTTTCAATGCCAAGTACTTTGTATTATTTACCACAAAACTTCCAGAACTGGCTACGTGAGCGAGGCTTCATGACATTAGGGTTGCCGCCCACTCTCATGGATCTGTTCGTACGTGGTATGTGCTCCACCAAAACCCCGCGGGATAACTTCTGCGTGTTCATGATGCAAAATCTCGTCGGTGAGAACTTTGATCAAGTCGATCCGGTATGTGCAAATAGATTAGGACCCCGTAAATACCAGACGTGCGTCATTTTAACAATGAAAGTAATATAAAGAATTGACTGTGAACCCCTTTTTTACAGAATATAACAACACAAATGATGACACGTGTACAGCCGGCATCATGGCGGCAGTTTGAGCATTACGGGAAGATCGCTTTAACAAGTAAATATAGTTACATTCGCATATAAATAGACGGCGTAAACCAAGATGTATAAGTCACCATCAAATTGTGAATTTCACCCTTTTTTAATTTGTCGATATCTTGAATTTTCCAGGTGTGTTTACGTCGTTGGAAGATGGAGTACTTGGGGAGGCGAAACCATACAATTTATCCAATATTAGAGTGCCAGTCACACTATTATATGGAGAAAATGATCAAATTGCTGAGAAATCTGTATGTAATTTTTATACACTTTTAAACTTCAACCTCTGTTATTCATGTTTTTTTTTTTTAGAACTATAGTGAAGTTTGCTGGACCTTCCAGATAAATTGACTTATTTGTTTTTTAAATAAAGCAGTTTTTCATCTCTACTGATATTATAAAGATTTGGATTTTTATGTATTGGAATAAATCAAAAACTACTATGCCAATTAAAAAATTCTTTTATCATTAAAAAGCTATGTTATCAGTAAGTAGCATCGGCTATATCTTTCCTATGTTTTATGTTCTACGCGGACGAAGTCGCGAGTAACAGCAAGTCTTTTAAAACGTGGATATTTTTTTTCAGCAAGTGATGCGTCTAGCTCGTGAGCTGAACAACACAGGCATGTTGGAGCAAGTGGAATCAGCATGCACTTCGCCCAAATTCAATCATGTTGATTTCCTATTCGCTAAGGATATAGCTCCATTATTCAACAAGCCATTAGTGCAACAAGTTGAAAAACTTTACAATAAATATTCCTACCGATGAATATAAGTGTTGTATGTATCTTTATTCCAAGGCTGTGAATTATATATGGAATAACTAATATTATAAATGCGAAAATTTAGATGGATGGATCGATGTTTGTTAGAGTATGTAGCCTTAACAGCTGAACGGATCTAGATAAAATTTGTAGAAGAAAAAGATGTAGACATCTATGCCAAATTTTATCTAGATAGATTATATTCTAACATAATAAGTTTTTTAATTCTACGCAGACGGAGTCGCGGGCGAAAGCTAGTATGGAATAAAGTAGAACATGTTTTGTCTAAGTTATTGTAATGTGACAATGTTTTAAAAACATTTTTATGTTTTAAATGTTTTCTGTTTTAATAAAATTTTCTTTTTAAGTATGATGTCAACAAGTTAACATTAATCTTATTTAACTAAATTATAAATAAAATATTATTTTAGAAATCAATACTGCTGGAAATTAATTGTTTTATAGTATCTTGTAACATACTTAATAATTATCATATAGTAAGATATTAAAAAATAAAATAAAAAAAACAATTAAATATCTTGGTTTTAGTTCATCATTTGCAACCTCCAAAAACAGAAAATTTCGCAATATAAGGCTATCAAACAATCAAAAATTACTGTACAGAGAAAAAGTAAACTAATGAACTAAACTTACCTTGCTGATGGATGCTTTTGGAGTCAGCAATGGTAGTTTGGCCCCTCCATGAGGACTCCCCGTCACTTTAGCGTCAGTACCTTTTGCCACTTCTGAAATAAAAAAAATCCTGAGTAATTTTACTGACTTAGCAAGATTTACACATAACTGTAATTATTTACATTTACAACTAACTAAAGAGCACACACAATCAATGTAAAAGAGTACATATTTTATTTATCTTTCTATTCCCGTCACTTAGTAACTTTAATGCACAGAGTTATAAATTTTTAATGATAATAAGACAAAATGGTCACAAGCTCTAGAAGCAGCTATTTCTGATATATCTGTAGTGTTTATAGCTAATTATTTGGTAATTTAGTTCATTGTTGGTTATAAAAAAGGATAAAATAAGAATTAAACCACAGTTAAATGCTATTCATCAGTAAACTAGCATTTATGACCTAAAGCCTGTTATACTTAGTAAATCTGTGAGAAATTGGTTACCTTTGTTTGGCATTTTTATATTGAAAAAAATATTCTATCAACTGATAGTAATAAAATAGAACTAAGTTCACATCAATATGCGTCCCTCATTTTCTTTAACTTCCATTATTTTGTTTTATATTCAGTAATCAGTAAAAAAATAAACAGAAGTAAATGACATTGACAGACAGGTGACATTGGATAATGAAATTCGAATCAAAACAAAGTTTTTGCACAGACCCATTAATGATCACATGCGAACTTTTCATCGCAATTTCTCAATCTCATATATGATAAAAGATGTAATAAGTACCTAAATCGTAATTATGAACTGTTTAAATACTTTTACAATGGTTTTCATTCGATATCCCGTGTTATAAAATCACGATGATTTTTCATTGTTTCATACTCTTTGCTTGTCAATTTGACATAATATAGCAAAATGGCAATTGTCAATGTAGGTTATACTTTTTGATAGCCTGAGTACATTTTAGATGCCGGAGTTCTAGATTTACCAATAATTAAATTATGTAAATACTAGCTAAATATAAGCAAGGTATTATCTAATCGTCCTAAGAAAATATAATTCTATAACAATCATGGATCTTCACCGGCCTGTTGATTCTAATAAGGTAAGATATCTTAAAGTATTTTATGGAATTTATCTGGTGAAAGGGTGTTAGTGCTTTATATTTTCAATATAACGAACGACTATTTGTTCTAATTAAATTAGAATAATCCAAGCTTAAGAATTCACTTAAAACTCTGCGCAATCATTTTTTAACATTCGGAGTCGTCTTATAACGTAAGATACATTTAAACCAATAAGAAGTAAATTAAAACCTAATCATGAGATACAAGTTCTACTATCGAAGGAGTAAAATATTATTTTAACGTGTTTTTTCTCAAACCATGTATACATTTTCATATAACATTTAGTTAATACTGTACTTAAATAATTGGTATATAATTCTTTGCAGACATATGAAGAGATGACCGCAGAAGAAAAGTTACGGTAAGTGCTATACAGCAAATAGTAATTTAAATCTGGCCATAATTATGTAGCACAAAAATTGCATACATTGTCAATGACATGCTTCTTACTAATATTATAGGTGTGATAGTTCAGAACATCCATCTGATGTGTGTTAAGGTATTTCTGACATAGCTCAATGGCTCAACTAAGTGTACACAGTTATAGAACATAGTCTGGAAAAACAGGTAGCCAGGGCATGAAATAAATAAATCATAAAAAAATAAACTGAAGAAACCAATATATAGCTTGTATCTTTGACACTGGTAGTGCCTGCTTTAACATCTTAGCACGAATGGGCCGGTGTGCCCGGTGTAATACCACAACCACATAGAAAACAGGCGTAAAATGGAAGCAATTCCGTGTTTCGTCTGATGAGTGTGGTGCCGGAGGCCTAATTTTAGTCTCTTGCTCTTTACCGCCCTTTTCTTATGGGAAGGGGAAGTGGATTTGACGATGGAGGAGATGCATAGGAAGGGGAAATATCCTCTTTATGTGCGTCTCGTCCTCCGTCGGATAAGGGTAGGCAACGCATCTGCAATTGCGGATGTCTATTGGCAGCGGTTGCTTCGCCATTTTGGCGGTGGCCGCTTGCTCGTTTGTCACCCTATGATATATATAAAAAAATATCTAATCAGCTATTTAATTAGTTTAAGTCCATATGTAATTTTACAAAACTAATTTGCCTATCACTATACAAATATACTCTGTTGTAATTGTATTGTCTTTGATAATGTTAAATAACTTGAAATAATGGAGTTTTGAGCATTTTAACATATTGATTGATTTGCATAATTATCGATACCTTGGTACATCCTACAGATAACAAATAATTAAATAGACATGTATTTTATTATTTTACTATTTTAATCTTTTGCTTTATTGTACCAAAAGTTGTGAGATGTTTATAGCAATGGCTGTTAGACTCTGAAAAATTTAACTTATGATTTTAAAAATTTATTTCCAACTAACAATAATAATTCTATTGTATGCAAATTTAATTTTAATAATAGTGTCTTATGTAACAAAAATTTGCCATTTGAGTCAGTTTGTTTAATTTTTTTTAGTAAATATAATTTATAAGCATATCAAGTTTTTCCCCCATTTTCACTGGATCAGATGGAATTAAGCAAACATGAAACCTTTTATGTAGTAATACTTATTAATACTCACCAATTACAATAAATACAAGTCTGTTACATGTCTGCTCAAAAGAATTACCAAAAAAAATGTAAAGGTGCTGAATATTATTCATGAAATACAAATTTAATAACCACTAGTTTCTGTACACAACTTCATCCATGTGAAAACTTAATATCTTATATGTTCTACCAGACTATATTCTATATCTATACCAATTGAACAGTGGTAGTGCCTGCTTTAACATCTTAGCACTGCAGGGCCGGCACGCCCGGTGTAATACCACGACCACACAGAAGACAGGCGTGAAATGGAAGCAATTCCGTGTTTCGTCTGATGAGTGTGGTGCTGGAGGCCTAATTTAAGTCCCTTTCTCTTTATCACCCTTTTCTTATAAGGAGAGGATGGGAAGGGGAAGTGGATTTGACGGTGGAGGAGATGCATAGGAAGGGGAAATATCCTCTTTATGTGCGTCTCCTCCTCCGTCGTATAAGGGTAGGCAACGCATCTGCAATTGCGGATGTCTATGGGCAGTGGTCGCTTCGCCATTTTGGCGGATTCAAGTGACCGCTTGCTAGTTTGCCACCTTATGTTATAAAAAAAAAATACCATTCATCACAATCTGTTAAACCATTCTAGATATACCTTGTAATAAACCTCCATACATCTAATCATTCACATTTTTAAAATTGGTAAATTTTTCTAAAACAGTAGTTGATGGCCCCCACTCTTTAGGTGTAGAGCCTACCTTCAGTCAAGGGTGACTAAGCATAGTCAACCATACTGGTAAACAGCGTGCAGACACACATATTTTTTAAACTCTACACAATAAGTACAGGTTATAACAACCTTCTTCAGTGTTATAATTGGTTCTTTAAATGGCATTTCATTTAGATCTTATTGTGTTTTCTTTGATGTCATAATTGCATAACCCATGTATTTTCGTCTACAGATATGATCATCAGAAGATGCACGAAATGCACCGCGGCCATGAATCGATGCACACCACTATGGTGATGATCCTAATCATCACATTAGTGGTGGCGCAGTTTGTCGTTGTGGAATGGAAGAAGCGGCATTATCGATCTTATGCTGTAAGATATAAGATTTATAGTTAAAATTAGCGTTAGATATTACTGCAGCTGACCAGATGTATACATGGTGGAAATAGAACTGTAATTCTTGCCTGCACTCTATACTAAGGGTGGTAACTCTATACACATGCCTATAGCTGGCACATTTCTATACAAGCTACTCGCACTTGTCAGCTATAGGCATGTCTACGAGTAAATGGTAGCTGGCATACAAGTAGCTAAGACAATATTTGATTTTTGTGATCTGTCAGTCTTGTGAACTGGCATGCAAGCTACTGTTCCATTTTACTGGCATCTGTATTTCAGATCAAATGTAAACTAGAAACGTATATGTTAACTCAAAAACTGCACTCCTTTTCTCGTAGATTATGAAATAGTAGCTATCGAATATGAGTTCTGCAAATTAAAAAAACAAAAGTAAGTAGCCTATGAGTTCTTCCAGGCTATCCTCCAAATATGTCAAATTTCATCGAGATCCGTTCAGCATTTTACGCTACAAACCCAAACAAACATCCATTCATCCATCTAAACTTTTGCATTTATAATATTAAGTATGAAATATTTGTTTTCAGTTGTTCACAATGGTAGCAATGTGGTCGATTCCACTTGCGCTAAGCTTCCACAAAGGATGGTGGAGGTTCATCACGATCTGGACTGTCTTTACCCTGCTCACTGGAATTATTATAAGGAAGTCATCTGCAAAGCCAATGTCCAATACCACGCCAAGGTTAGTGCTTATAAAAAACATTTGTAACACCAAATTGAGACTTTAGTATAAAATTACTTACATTGTATGTTACTTCTTGTAGCCTCAAAGATTGAACCGATTTTGATAAAAGAGCTCTCATTCGATTCGTCCTTTTTGCTGGAGTGTCATAGGATATATTATATCAACAAAAAACACACATAGTGGACATGAGAAATGAAATTCTAAAAAAAAAATGAGAAAAAACGGGTTTAAACATCACTAGCCTTCTTCCCTAGCACGTTTTTTCGGTTTTTAAATTCAGTCTGAAATAAGAAAAATGAAACATAAAACAGTTTATTCAGTTTAATATTATACTTCTCTAATGCAGCCAATAGATGGCGCTTTTTCGTCTTGTAAGCCACGCAGTTTGCTTTAGATTTTAAACTAGCATTTGCCCTTGCTGTCCGCATGTATTAAAAAAACAAAAGCAAGTAGCCTATGTGTTCTTCTAGATTATGTTCTACATCTATGCCAAATTTCATCCAGATCTGTTCCTAGAAAAACTTTTCATTAAGCGTGTCACACACTTGGCTTCCAAAAAC